TCAGCGTCTGAGCTGCTTGATGGTGATAATCAACCCAAATAATAATAATGTTAATAATAATATTGATAAAAAAATAATAACTTATAATAACCCATAATTGGCTATTTGGGGAACATTCCCATAAACTAGTGCACACATTTTTTCCCCCAAATTTAATGACCCGTAACTCCAATTTTACCTTAATTCGCCGGGTAATTTTTACTAATTCGACCACGAGCAATCGAGTCTATTTGCGACGATAATATTTTGCCTCTAAATGTGTGACGCTAAAGTGTCTCCCGTTCTGTTCATGCCACATTCACAGAGGAGTGTTTTATTCCGGATACCTGTGATATGGCATATACCGTTTGAATTGTTAATTGTTATGGTTATGTTAATATGGGCAACACCAAAGCCCAAATCCACAGCGGCATACACTAACTGCAAACATTTCACGGACATTACAAAAAATGGAGTTCGTAAGTGAGAACGGACATATTATAAAACATATAACCGTATTAACACAATTTAGGGGCAACACCAGGCCCGACCAGTATAGTGGGCAACACAAGAAACTCAAAGCCACGGCATACACAATATGCTTGACAATAAATGAAATACATGTAGGCCTATATGAAAATGAGATATATGTGGCAATAAATGACAACAAATGCAAATTAAACTTGAATAACAAAAAAATAGCTTCCCACAGATGTACATTCAGTCAGGAAAACATCATAGCCTCGTGACACACTGAGATCGCTACGGCAAGTATCAAATTAGCCTAACAAAATAGAAAAACAATGGATTGAATGGTTCCATTTGCCCCATAAATATGAGGAGCAGGCTGTCTGTATCCTAAACATTGCGAACATTTTAATCCTTGTAATTTGTATAGTCTCTTGAAACCTTGGAGCACTATAACTGGCGGATGTAAGGGGTGGTGGTGGAAAAACATTTGCAAGGAAAGTTCCTCTGTGTACTGTCCATCATGTGCTCGCTTAAGTGTGCTTAAGTGACCAGAGGGCCCCACATATCTATACCAAGATTGGCTATTAGATGGATTTATGATGATGATGATGATGATGTGATTGCATTCCTGTGGCCCCTGGATGCCTGGTCAGGCCCCCCAATAACCCCGCCATATGCTGTCTCCGATGGCCCACCCATCAATCATCAGGTGCAAAAATTGTTTTACCATTTATTGGATAAAAACAAATCACTGTGTTTATGCCACATCCACAGAGGAGTGTTTTTATTCCGGATACCATCGATTGGGCATTTACCGGTTGCAATATGGGCAGCACCAAAGCTCAAAGCCACAGCGGCATACACCAACAACAAACATTTTACGCACATTAATTTAAAAAAAAAATGCAGTTCACATATGAGAAAGACACTTTCAAACACAAAAACACCGTAAACAAAATATCACCGTCAGGGGCAACACGAGAAACCCTAAGCCACAGCGGCATGCAAGTTCAATAACTGATGCACTTTGGCGATCGATGATGGATTTTGCAATCGGTGATGGGTCGTTGATCATCGGTCGCAAAAGTCCATCACCGATTGCAAAAGTCCATCACCGATTGCAAAGTCCATCACCGGTCGCGAAATTCCATCACCGATCGTTAACATGCATCACCAGTAAAAGTCCATCACCGATTGCAAAAGTCCATCACCGATTGCAAAAGTCCATCACCGATTGCAAAGTGATCACCGATCGCGAAAGTCCATCACCGATCGTTAATATGCATCACCAGTAAAAGTCCATCACCGATTGCGAAAGTTCATCACCGATCGTGAAAATGCATCACCAGTAAAAGTCCATCACCGATCGCGTAAGTCCATCACCGATCGTGAATATGCATCACCAGTGAAAGTCCATCACCGATCGCGAAAGTCCATCACCGATCGTGAATATGCATCACCAGTGAAAGTCCATCACCGATTGCGAAAGTCCATCACCGATCGTGAATATGCATCACCAGTAAAAGTCCATCACCGATCGCGAAAGTCCATCACCGATCGTGAATATGCATCACCAGTAAAAGTCCATCACCGATCGCGAAAGTCCATCACCGATCGTGAATATGCATCACCGATTGCAAAAGTGTATCACCGATTCGATGATCACATTAAATGCCTCTTTGGCGTTCCATAAATATGTATGCTGAATCGATTGAGAGTAATTTTGGTGTGCTGAAGCTTTCCTTGTCTCGGTTTTACGTTCGTCCGTGTAAGAGACTTGCAAACAGTGCTGAGTAGGTCCAATGGAAGAGCATCTGTCTGTTATTTCGAAGCTAGCGTGTTCGATTCCCCAAACACTCATGTCTGACATATGCAACTCAATCTCTGTCCTTTTTTTTGTTTTAAGGTAAGTGAGAACTGAATTACTATTGTAACGTCTCTCTCGGGTGAGAGACATTATCAAATAAAGAGTCAGATACAAATATCTTACACACACACACACACCCATACTTGTTTCACATGACTAGTGTGGACTTTCCAAGTTCGTGTAGTTAAGAAAAACCAGTGAAAAAAATCATTTTTCTCAAACTGTGAAAACTCTTTCAACCCAATTTTTTTTCTATGATTCCCTTTAGTGTTTCTCTTCATTCTGCTACAGATAAACCTAACCCAAAAATGCCTCTAAACCTGTTTTCCAGAAATGGGGAAACACTGTGTGGACGTGGGGTAAGTCCACACAACGTCGGTGCTACCTACATTATGTGGACGTCTTTTGTTCGGAAGTCCACACTGCGTATGTAAGACAAACTCACACAAGTACTTTATTTGAGATTATTTACATCTCAGGTCAATAGAGGGCGCACTATATACAATGTAAAGTTAAGGCGTACATGTGTACATGTCAGGAACTCTGTCGGGGTCAGAGCCCAGAGCAACAATCTAATGCATCATATGCGGGAGCTCTGTGTAGGTCAGAGCTCAGCTCAGGAATCTACTGGGGAAGAGCCCAGTACAACAATGATCAACATTGCCAGTTCTACGCGCTTTATATAGACTTTTGGGGGCGCGTCTTAGCCAATGGGAGCATTGGATTCTGGTAGTTATGAATAATGCATCCTGTACAAAGGCATGGGGAAAGTTCTCTATGGGAGATTTGTACACGACTGACTTGGACAATCTACTGGAAGAAAGTCCAAGAGCAGTGGTTAGCGGGCGGAGTAGGATCACTCGTGGGTGCGTTACGGGGAACTGATCCTCAAGGAAAAGGGAAAGGGAATAACTTCTCGGTACATAGGTTTGTGTACAAGACTTGGTCTCTAGACTAGGTAGGAATCTACACACTAATGCTATGGAGTAAAACTATGAGACGAAGGACGTAACCTGACCTCTAGCTACCGTAGGTCTCGGCCAGTGGGTTAGCGGGACACACTCGCTGGGGTGTACGGGGTCACTAAGGGGTGAATACACGGGTAGGTTTTAGCGAGCCACATTCGCTAAATGCTTGGGGTCAATGTGGGTCGGATGCGAGGTAAGGTGTGTGAGGGGAATTCGCATCGACTCCGGGGAAAGGTGGAGGGAAAATGGCTAAGTACATGTCCCATGGCGGTACATGTTCAATAGCAGTGAGAGCTACATGCATTGCGCGCTATACAATAGCGTACTGAACAATGTGCTGCACACTTGGTGTGCGTCTAAGACTTCGTGGTAAGCTTCGCGCTGTGTGTGAGGGCACACAGGATCGCTGCAAGCATTACGCTGTGCACGGAGTGGAATGGATTGGTTGGGAAAGAAGTAAACTACGCAATCATGCGGGAACGCAACACTATTCTCAAAGATGTCCCATGTTCAACGCGTCCTCGGCTCTCACTGGACACATTGTTTACCCGCTGACGACACTGGTCAGCTTTTCCGTGTGTGCATGACCCTTGTACACCAAAGTCTCCCACAGTAATAAGCAACCCAGAATGCATTGCGTTTCCGTACAGATTTTGGTACAATGATGCATGCCTGTATTAAAATTCCCCCTCGACACTAGTGCTAAATGCCCATACTTCAAAATTCCTGTTTAAATACTCAAAACTCTCACAGGTTTTAAAGATGAACAGAAACATGATGACGATCAACATGTCGTCTTTCATTTTCTTTTCAAATTTTGGTGGTTTGCTAATTGATTTTTCGAGAAATTTGCACCCTAAAAAGACGAAACCTGTTTTTCCCAAAGCGGAGAAGTATAGCTATCTTGAAAAACGATCCCTCCACAACATGGCAAACTAGCGCCAAATTCGAGCCCAATTGCATCCAAAATGCTCAGAATTGGAATCCCAAAGTCCGGGCCAGAGATGCATTGCCATAGCATTTCAGTTTCCCAATTGTATGGCTCTCAGAACTCTCTAATATAGAATATTTTGAGGGTATAACTTTTATTCATGAGCTCGGAGGATGGGTTAGGCCTAGTCTGGTATGCACGCACAATCGATTAAATCCAACCAACAGTCTTTAATGACAGGTTTGTAGTTTCTCTTCACGTCGTTTTGAATTGGAGTGCAGCGGACGGACTTCGCAAACTTCATGAAGAAACTGTTGAAGTAATGTTCCGGTGTCGTGTGACATTGTGATATTTAACAAAGAGATACAAAAATGGTTTAACACTCTGAAAAGCCGGAGTCAGATTAAATCCCGTCAAAGTGACACTTTTCCGTGTCAAGTGACACTTTTCCGGGTCAAAGTGACACTTTTCCGGGTCAAAGTGACACTTTTCCAGGTCGAAATTACACTTCTCTGGATCATTTTTCGGACCATTTGACACGGAAAATTGTCAATTTGACCCGAAGTAGCATCACTGAGTCTAATATGACCCGCATTCCGCAGGGCATGCATATCTGACCCGGGACGTTTTAGATAGAGTGAAGATATTTTACTGGAGATATTATGCTCGAAGATAGCGATTAGATGCTTCAAGGCACATATTTCAAGTTCTTTGCTAACTTCTACGGTTTCTGCATTAAAAAGGACATTTCAATTGCGACAAAAAATAACAGGCTACGAAGAGATAACTTTGGTCGCAGGAGCTCATACCATGCCAACAGCATTTATTCAACAGAAAATCTTAAAAGTGTGATTACAATAATTAAGACCCACCACCCAGAATGACTTTTCATGCTTTTGTTTAGTTCAGATATAGCGTATGATTTTTCTCATCTGCCTACAGGTCAGTTTTAAGTCTTCATAATTCACTGTATAATGTCTTGTAAGTGAAAACTGATTTCAGCAAGCTGTAAAAGAAAGGCCTATGTAATAACAAGACAACATGATAAATAAATGCATGCAAAGGAGGAAGTTGTGTCAGAGAAACTCGCAGTGGTAGCTTCACAATCGTGACACCCATCGGGTGTTGTTGTTCATTTCCAGATAAAGATTCAGACTAGGATCAGATTAAATAGTAATCGAAAAATATGTCATTAATTTACTCACGGGAGTTAGCTTTGTCAACTTTTATTCCTTGTGGGAATTTCAATTACATGTAGATGCAAAAAGTCTCATTTAACTCGAACAAGGCAAAGACAATACAACTTAAACCCTTCACCGTAATAAATATTCAATTGCGACTTCATCATCCCGAGGCTGTTGGCATTTGAAATCTGAAATGAAGACCAAAACAAGAGAAAATAAAAATAATTTCATTGTTAAGCTCACACCAATCTCGTCGGATGAAAAAAAATGGAAAAAAAATATCGTTTTTGGTATTAATTTACGTCCTTTGAACTTGCTTAAAATGTCAGTGCTAGAAATCGCATGCACAGAAACTAGTACAGGAATGTTAAATGTCTATAATGGTGTCAAATCTAGCCCAGGTTGGACGATTGGATTGTCTTCATTGCATTACGACTGACGTCCAGGTTCTTAGACCTCTGTGGAATACGACTCAAAAAAAGAAAATTATTGTTTTGAGCACTTAATATCGTGGACTCCCTCTGTACGTAGGGAGGTAAGGAAGTCTACTGGGTTACATTGGTTTCAAGGTAAGTCAATTACAGCAAAATGCAGTTTTGAATGACAAATTTTCCTCTTTTTGAGGTTATTATTTCCTTAAACGGGTGCAGCTAAGTTGAACGATTATATCTGTCATTACGTGGGCTCACTAGCTATGGCCAAACAAAAAAGTCTCCGGTTTCAGGTATGCGCCCGCGTCGCCCTTGCCATGCGCTTCGGCAAAATGAAACAGTTTTTCTTTCCAATGTAAGATGATGCCTCAAAACTGCCAAACTCACTGGTTTGACTGGAATCCGGCTGCAGCACAATTTTATAATGTTTTTAGATGGGGTTATGATCGAGTATAAGCTTTATGTGGCCTCTAGGGACTCCGAATGCGCTAAATATAGTTGGGCACTATTTGCAGTCATCAGCCGACATTTGAGGAAAAAAACGGGGGGAAAAAGCCGGGTCGCTGCACCACATTTTTGGGGCAAGCTTCATACCAGAAACCCGGAGACTTTTTTAGCCTAGGTTGAACGCCATTAACGAAAGTGGGGTCACTACTCGACAAGCTTTGCTTTTTAGAGACCCGCATCCATTAATATAACGATTGTCAACTTTTCGGAAGAAGCAACAATTACCTTCAATATTTTGCCATTCTCTTGTAAGGATAGTCGCACACTCCCCATGGCATGCAGGTCAATTCGGGAAAGCACGGTGGAAGATCAAAACCACAGGCTGAAAATAAAGCAGTTGGATACGAAATGTTAGTGTTACCACACAATAACACTGTGCATCAATACATTGGCAGCGTGTTTAATGTGAACATTAAATCTGATTAATTAGCTCGAAATTAAGAATAAATCAACTGCAGAAACTTACGTGCTCCTTGATATTGTTTCACAGCAACCTCGTCGGCTGAAAGGAAAGAGAGGCGGAACAATTATTTTATTGCTGGTCAGTGCGTCATTTTAGATAAAAAAAAAATCACAACGCTAAATCTTACACATATAATGACAAGGATCTCTATCGGAACATGGTCGAATGTCCATTAAAATGTATCAGTACTTTACTACTGTACTGGCCCGATTGGCGGATTGCATCGTAATCTTAAATAGATTTAACTAAGCTGCATCGGTTAAAAGGGAATAACTTCAAAAGAGGAAAATAATCCTAGAAACTTCGCCGCTTGAGCTGACGAGCAATAGACGGAGAACATGTGGACTGTTCACTTTTTATGTTCACTGCGTTAAAGATGCGTCCCCCGCGCTCCTCAAAAAGGAAACGGGACACAGCATTGCTTTCCAATGATTCTATTAAAAAAGCGTTACATCGGTTTCCAGGTAAGTCAATTACAGTTAAATGCAGTTTTGAATGACATATTTTCCTTTTTTTTAAATTATTATTTCCTTAAACGGGTGCAGCTATTAAGTTGAACGAAATATATTTATCATTACGCTACGTGGGCTCCCTAGCTAAGGCCACAAAAAAGTCTCCAGTTTCAGGTATGCGCGCGCGTCGCCGAAGCCATGCGCGTCACGTCGGCAAAATGAAAAAGGTTTTTTTGCCAATGTAAGATGATGTCTCAAAACTACCAAACTCACTGGTTTGACTGGAATCCTGCTACAGCACAATTTTAACGTGTTTTTAGATGGGGTTACGATCGAGTATAAGCTTTATGTGGCCTCTAGGGACTCGCATTGCACTAAATTTAGTCGGGCACCATTTGCAGTCATCAGCCGACATTTGAAGAAAACAAAACGGGAAAAAAGCCGGGTCGCCGCACCAGTTTTTGGGGCAAGCTTCATTCCAGAAACCGGAGACTTTTTTTGGCCTAAGTTCAACGACATCTATTTAACAAAAGTGGGGTCACTTATCGACAAGCTTTGCTTTTTAGAGACCCTCATCCACATTATTGTGATCTAATGATTGTCTTGACATACTGCTTTGTATTGTTACGTGGTAAATAAAGTAAGATTGATTAATTGATTGATTGATTAATTGATTGATTGATTGAAACAGCCCCCCCCCCCTTCCGGAAAAAAACATTATAACGACTGTCGATTCAACTTTTAGGAAGAGGTAAAAATTACCTTCAACATTTGCCATTCTCTTGTAAGGATAGTCGCACACTCCCCATGGCATGCAGGTCAATTCGGGAAAGCACGGTGGAAGATCAAAACCACAGGCTGAAAATAAAGCAGTTGGATACGAAATGTTAGTGTTACCACACAATAACACTGTGCATCAATACATTGGCAGCGTGTTTAATGTGAACATTTAATCTGATTAATTAGCTCGAAATTAAGAATAAATCAACTGCAGAAACTTACGTGCTCCTCGATATTGTTTCACAGCAACCTCGTCGGCTGAAAGGAAAGAGAGGCGGAACAATTATTTTATTGCTGGTCAGTGCGTCATTTTAGATAAAAAAAAATCACAACGCTAAATCTTACACATATAATGACAAGGATCTCTATCGGAACATGGTCGAATGTCCATTAAAATGTATCAGTACTTTACTACTGTACTGGCCCGATTGGCGGATTGCATCGTAATGTTAAATAGATTTAACTAAGCTGCATCGGTTAAAAGGGAATAACTTCAAAAAGAGGAAAATAATCCTAGAAACTTCGCCGCTTGAGCTGACGAGCAATAGACGGAGAACATGTGGACTGTTCACTTTTTATGTTCACTGCGTTAAAGATGCGTCCCCCGCGCTCCTCAAAAAGGAAACGGGACACAGCATTGCTTTCCAATGATTCTATTAAAAAAGCGTTACATCGGTTTCCAGGTAAGTCAATTACAGTTAAATGCAGTTTTGAATGACACATTTTCCTTTTTTTTAAAATTATTATTTCCTTAAACAGGTGCAGCTATTAAGTTGAACGAAATATATTTATCATTACGCTACGTGGGCTCCCTAGCTAAGGCCACAAAAAAGTCTCCGGTTTCAGGTATGCGCGAGCGTCGCCGTTGCCATGCGCGTCACGTCGGCAAAATGAAACAGTTTTTTTTGCCAATGTGAGATGATGTCTCAAAACTGCCAAACTCACTGGTTTGACTGGAATCCTGCTGCAGCACAATTTTAACGTGTTTTTAGATGGGGTTACGATCGAGTATAAGCTTTATGTGGCCTCTAGGGACTCCCAATGCACTAAATTTAGTCGGGCACCATTTGCAGTCATCAGCCGACATTTGAAGAAAAAAAACGGGGAAAAAAAGCCGGGTCGCCGCACCACTTTTTGGGGCAAGCTTCATACCAGAAACCGGAGACTTTTTTTTAGCCTAAGTTGAACGACATCTATTTAACAAAAGTGGGGTCACTACTCGACAAGCTTTGCTTTTAGGAGACCCTCATCCACATTATTGTGATCTAATGATTGTCTTGACATACTGCTTTGTATTGTTACGTGGTAAATAAAGTAAGATTTATTAATTGATTGATTGATTGATTGATTGAAACAGCTCCCCCCCCCTTCCGGAAAAAAACATTATTATAACGACTGTCGAGTCAACTTTTCGGAAGAAGTAAAAATTACCTTCAACATTTGCCATTCTCTTGTAAGGAAAGTCGCACACTCCCCATGGCGTGCAGGTCAATTCGGGAAGGCACGGTGGAAAATCAAAACCACAGGCTGAAAATAAAGCAGTTGGATACGAAATGTTAGTGTTACCACACGATAACACTGTGCATCAATACATTGGCAGCGTGTTTAATGTGAACATTAAATTTGATTAATTAGCTCGAAATTAAGAATAAATCAACTGCAGAAACTTACGTGCTCCTGGATATTGTCTCACAGCAACCTCGTCGGCTGAAAGGAAAGAGAGGCGGAACAATTATTTTATTGCTGGTCAGTGCGTCGGTTGAGATAAAAAAATTCACAACGCTAAATCTTACACATAATAATTACAAGGATCTGTATTAGAACAAGGTCGAATGTCCATTAAAATGTGTCAGTACTTTACTACTGTACTGGCCCGATTGGCGGATTGCATAGTAATGTTAAATACATGTCGTTTAACTAAGCTGCATCCGTTAAAAGGGAATAATTTCAAAAAGAGGAAAATAATCCTAGAAACTTCGCCGCTTGAGCTGAAGAGCAATGAGACGGAGAACATGTTGACTATTCACTTTTTATGTTCACTGCGTTAAACATGCGTCCCCCGCGCTCCTCAAAAAGGAAACGGGACACAGCATTGCTTTCCAATGATTCTATTAAAAAAGTGTTACATCGGTTTCGAGGTAAGTCAATTACAGTAAAATGCAGTTTTGAATGACAAATTTTCCTCTTTTTGAAATTATTATTTCCTTAAACGGGTGCAGCTTAGTTGAACGAAATATATCATTACGTGGGCTCACTAGCTAAGGCCAAAAAAAGTTTCCGGTTTCAGGTATGCGCGCGCGTCGCCGTTGCCATGCGCGTCACGTCGGCAAAATGAAACAGTTTTTTTTGCCAATGTAAGATGATGTCTCAAAACTGCCAAACTCACTGGTTTGACTGGAATCCTGCTGCAGCACAATTTTAACGTGTTTTTAGATGGGGTTACGATCGAGTATAAGCTTTATGTAGCCTCTAGGGACTCCCATTGCACTAAATGTAGTCGGACACCATTTGCAGTCATCAGCCGGCATTGAGAAAAAAAACGGGGAAAAAAAGCCGGGTCGCCGCACCACTTTTTGGGGCAAGCTTCATACCAGAAACCGGAGACTTTTTTTTAGCCTAAGTTGAACGACATCTATTTAACAAAAGTGGGGTCACTACTCGACAAGCTTTGCTTTTAGGAGACCCTCATCCACATTATTGTGATCTAATGATTGTCTTGACATACTGCTTTGTATTGTTACGTGGTAAATAAAGTAAGATTTATTAATTGATTGATTGATTGATTGATTGAAACAGCCTCCCCCCCCCTTCCGGAAAAAAACACATTATAACGACTGTCGAGTCAACTTTTCGGAAGAAGTAAAAATTACCTTCAACATTTGCCATTCTCTTGTAAGGAAAGTCGCACACTCCCCATGGCGTGCAGGTCAATTCGGGAAGGCACGGTGGAAAATCAAAACCACAGGCTGAAAATAAAGCAGTTGGATACGAAATGTTAGTGTTACCACACGATAACACTGTGCATCAATACATTGGCAGCGTGTTTAATGTGAACATTAAATTTGATTAATTAGCTCGAAATTAAGAATAAATCAACTGCAGAAACTTACGTGCTCCTGGATATTGTCTCACAGCAACCTCGTCGGCTGAAAGGAAAGAGAGGCGGAACAATTATTTTATTGCTGGTCAGTGCGTCGGTTGAGATAAAAAAATTCACAACGCTAAATCTTACACATAATAATTACAAGGATCTGTATTAGAACAAGGTCGAATGTCCATTAAAATGTGTCAGTACTTTACTACTGTACTGGCCCGATTGGCGGATTGCATAGTAATGTTAAATACATGTCGTTTAACTAAGCTGCATCCGTTAAAAGGGAATAATTTCAAAAAGAGGAAAATAATCCTAGAAACTTCGCCGCTTGAGCTGAAGAGCAATGAGACGGAGAACATGTTGACTATTCACTTTTTATGTTCACTGCGTTAAACATGCGTCCCCCGCGCTCCTCAAAAAGGAAACGGGACACAGCATTGCTTTCCAATGATTCTATTAAAAAAGTGTTACATCGGTTTCGAGGTAAGTCAATTACAGTAAAATGCAGTTTTGAATGACAAATTTTCCTCTTTTTGAAATTATTATTTCCTTAAACGGGTGCAGCTTAGTTGAACGAAATATATCATTACGTGGGCTCACTAGCTAAGGCCAAAAAAAGTTTCCGGTTTCAGGTATGCGCGCGCGTCGCCGTTGCCATGCGCGTCACGTCGGCAAAATGAAACAGTTTTTTTTGCCAATGTAAGATGATGTCTCAAAACTGCCAAACTCACTGGTTTGACTGGAATCCTGCTGCAGCACAATTTTAACGTGTTTTTAGATGGGGTTACGATCGAGTATAAGCTTTATGTAGCCTCTAGGGACTCCCATTGCACTAAATGTAGTCGGACACCATTTGCAGTCATCAGCCGGCATTGAGAAAAAAAACGGGGAAAAAAAGCCGGGTCGCCGCACCACTTTTTGGGGCAAGCTTCATACCAGAAACCGGAGACTTTTTTTTAGCCTAAGTTGAACGACATCTATTTAACAAAAGTGGGGTCACTACTCGACAAGCTTTGCTTTTTAGAGACCCTCATCCACATTATTGTGATCTAATGATTGTCTTGACATACTGCTTTGTATTGTTACGTGGTAAATAAAGTAAGATTGATTGATTGATTGATTGATTGATTTATTGAAACAGCCTCCCCCCCCCCTTCAGGAAAAAAACACATTATAACGACTGTCGAGTCAACTTTTCGGAAGAAGTAAAAATTACCTTCAACATTTGCCATTCTCTTGTAAGGAAAGTCGCACACTCCCCATGGCGTGCAGGTCAATTCGGGAAGGCACGGTGGAAAATCAAAACCACAGGCTGAAAATAAAGCAGTTGGATACGAAATGTTAGTGTTACCACACGATAACACTGTGCATCAATACATTGGCAGCGTGTTTAATGTGAACATTAAATTTGATTAATTAGCTCGAAATTAAGAATAAATCAACTGCAGAAACTTACGTGCTCCTGGATATTGTCTCACAGCAACCTCGTCGGCTGAAAGGAAAGAGAGGCGGAACAATTATTTTATTGCTGGTCAGTGCGTCGGTTGAGATAAAAAAATTCACAACGCTAAATCTTACACATAATAATTACAAGGATCTGTATTAGAACAAGGTCGAATGTCCATTAAAATGTGTCAGTACTTTACTACTGTACTGGCCCGATTGGCGGATTGCATAGTAATGTTAAATACATGTCGTTTAACTAAGCTGCATCCGTTAAAAGGGAATAATTTCAAAAAGAGGAAAATAATCCTAGAAACTTCGCCGCTTGAGCTGAAGAGCAATGAGACGGAGAACATGTTGACTATTCACTTTTTATGTTCACTGCGTTAAACATGCGTCCCCCGCGCTCCTCAAAAAGGAAACGGGACACAGCATTGCTTTCCAATGATTCTATTAAAAAAGTGTTACATCGGTTTCGAGGTAAGTCAATTACAGTAAAATGCAGTTTTGAATGACAAATTTTCCTCTTTTTGAAATTATTATTTCCTTAAACGGGTGCAGCTTAGTTGAACGAAATATATCATTACGTGGGCTCACTAGCTAAGGCCAAAAAAAGTTTCCGGTTTCAGGTATGCGCGCGCGTCGCCGTTGCCATGCGCGTCACGTCGGCAAAATGAAACAGTTTTTTTTGCCAATGTAAGATGATGTCTCAAAACTGCCAAACTCACTGGTTTGACTGGAATCCTGCTACAGCACAATTTTAACGTGTTTTTAGATGGGGTTACGATCGAGTATAAGCTTTATGTAGCCTCTAGGGACTCCCATTGCACTAAATGTAGTCGGGCACCATTTGCAGTCATCAGCCGGCATTGAGAAAAAAAACGGGAAAAAAAAGCCGGGTCGCCGCACCACTTTTTGGGGCAAGCTTCATACCAGAAACCGGAGACTTTTTTTTGGCCTAAGTTGAACGACATCTATTTAACAAAAGTGGGGTCACTACTCGACAAGCTTTGCTTTTTGGAGACCCTCATCCACATTATTGTGATCTTATGATTGTCTTGACATACTGCTTTGTATTGCTATGTGGTAAATAAAGTAAGATTGATTAAATGATTGATTGATTGATTGATTGAAACAGCCCCCCCCCCTTCCGGGAAATAAACATTATAACGATTGTCGAGTCAACTTTTCGGACGAAGTAAAAATTACCTTCAACATTTGCCATTCTCTTGTAAGGAATGTCGCACACTCCCCATGGCATGCAGGTCAAGCCGGGATCGCACGGTGGAGAATCAAAACCACAGGCTGAAAATAAAGCAGTTGGATACGAAATGTTAGTGTTACCACGCGATAACACTGTGCATCAATACATTGGCAGCGTGTTTAATGTGAACATTAAATCTAATTAATTAGCTCGAAATTAAGAATAAATCAACTGCAGAAACTTACGTGCTCCTGGATATTGTTTCACAGCAACCTCGTCGGCTGAAAGGAAAGAGAGGCGGAACAATTATTTTATTGCTAGTCAGTGCGTCAGTTTAGATAAAAAAATTCACAACGCTAAATCTTACACATATAATGACAAGGATCTTTATTGGAACATGGTCGAATGTCCATTAAAATGTGTCAGTACTTTACTACTGTACTGGCCCGATTGGCGGATTGCATCCTAATGTTAAATAGATGTCGTTTAACTAAGCTGCATCCGTTAAAAGGGAATAACTTCAAAAAGAAATGCGTGCCCCGTGCTCTTCAAAAAGGAAACGGGACACAGCTTTGGTTTCCAATGATTCTATTAAAAAGGTGTTCCATTGGTTTCAAGGGAAGTCAATTACGGTCATCATTGTGGAATAATGATTGGAACTCGGTAACAAAAACATCCTGTTGTTTACCATAACGACTGTCATGAGTTTATAGCATCCTTGTTATATTCTGGAATTCAGCTGTACTTTCAGTCAGTTACCTTTTGTATTTTTTTTCTCTTTTGTACCTTGTCATTATAGTTGTTGTACATGTACGCCAATGTGTTAAATACGGAACCAGACCACGTCCAAGCATTTGCTTTTTGCCTGGTATCTGCCATTGATCACCCACTGTGCAATTTTTGTAAACAACTGTGTATTGTGATGTATGGAAATAAAACAATACCAATACCATAACCAATTCCAGGGCCCGCAATATTCTAGGCTGTACGGAAAAAGAATGTGACAGGGAACCTGCTCAATTCTAAAATTCATGTTTTATATTTTGCTTTCAATTAACGGGAAAACTACTTCTATTTTTCATTTTGGCCATCTTCAATCAGAAGCGACCATACAGCTACATTTTAAATTAATGTGGCGCCATGGAACCGACTTACTTTGTGGGGCCGCAAATAAAGTCCAACCTTTTAAAATCAACAATTCAATCAACTAAACGTCGGTCGATTTTGATGTTTCTTTGACTCCACGGAAAATAACAATGGGAATGTTCGGGGTGAAACACAAATTAGCACGGGGATTTGATTATGGTCGGAGGGAGGCACTCTCTCACAAAAAGAAACGACGGACTGAAGCTAAAAAAAGAAAGAAGGGAAAAACAAGGAAATGTTACCTTCGTTAGTTTTAGCCGAGAGGACAGAGCCCAGGCACACCAGAACGACCAAGCAGATATAAGCCTTCATCTTGACTGCATAAAGATACGTTAACCGAGAATAATACAAATATACACAACAAGAACGGTACTCGTTCCATACCTGCATCGAGCATCAATGTATTTTCCTGCCCTGTTGCCTTAATCATGATAATACCAAAGTTGTAATGACTATTTAGCTGGTGAATAACTACATAAATTGAATTCTCCATATCTGCAGATGTCTAGATTTAAAAAATTCAGAAAACACGATTCCAGCAATTATGGCGTCAAATCAAATGATTTAAAAAATGGCTACTAGACTGATAGTCCGTGGGACGAGAGACCGAAAACGCTTTAGTTTTCGAGATACGCGATCTGGTCCGCCGAATTTTATAAAACTTTACAGACATGTAGATTATGATGTACCATATCGAAAAAAACATTGATCCCCGATCCATAGTTTGTTTGGGAATGAGAAAATCTGGGATAAAACCGCCGAAAATTCTGCATGAGAAAAACATAAGAATCAGGGCCCTCTATTGATACAGTCAGAACCATTTTCGCACGCAATGAGCGCTTGCCAGATAACACTTCTTTCAACTTCCGTTTGAAAAAAGATCATTACAGATCAAATTCGTCTAAGCTGTTGCCGAATGGCAGCATTCAGAAATCGAATTCGTTGATAATAAATCAATGTAATTTCTTGACTAAGAAGGTTTGGCGTAGACTAGACGAAAACGATACTCTGGTCCGAAAACGTGTATATACTTGTTGTTTGAATTGCTTGAACTGAATTTTATACTGTCACACAAAAGACAAAATTAAACGTTGGAAGTGCACTAAATCGACAGTGATGGGCGAATATGAATATTAGAAACGGTGAATTCGAATGATAAACGTTTTAAAATAGCCGGGGAAACCTATATAATCTAATTTAATCCACTCATAATTTATTTATTTATTCTTTTTTGGGGGGATGTAAACCTGCACAGTTGTTACCCACCCGTATACACAAGAAGAATGGTATTTAGATTACATAGGTTTGTTCAATCTGTACTGAATGAGCATTAATTACTTAATTATTTTTAACTGACCAAAACGAGATTATGAGCACATGTACAGGCCGGTTAGATAATTGTTGTATAACTTTTAACATATCAAAAGCCTCATCAAATTGAAGGACCCACTTTTTTGTTTGCAAACTTTAAGAAGAGAAAATTAATGTATATTCCCCTATTTGGAAGCTGTGAGAGGCACTGCAGCATTACCACTGCAATTTGTTTCAGCTGAAACTGTTTTACCGATTTTATTATTTTGAATCTTGTTTTAAGAACCGATTCCTTATTTTGTTGTTGCTCTGTCCGTGAAACCACAAATAACCCAACGGTCCACCCGCTTCCTTTTTGAGGCTGCATCAAATTTGCATTACTTTTTTAAATTTCAGGAATAACATGTCTTAGAGATGGTTCAGAAGTTCAGATGCTCCAGCAGATGCCACGGACTTATATTATTTTTGAAAACATGTTACCCTGAGATAAGAGTTCACAAAATTATTCTGATCTGTGGTTTAACCATACCAATCGATGTTCAGCTAATACATAACATGTAAACATTCGATCTTAAATTTAAAGCGTGATCATTTTCATGTTGGACAAAACTGTAACGAAGATATTTTGGTATCCCGATGACAAATAACAAAAATCTAGAATATAATATATGAAAGAAGTGTCATTTAGCATTGGCCGAGTTTTGGCGGGTCTTGTTCTTGACACGGGTATATAGTTACATACAACGACGGATAGGGGCATGGTGTGAGATCCTGCTCCGAGTACAGTGCTCGTGGGTCGTGTTCTCGCCGTCGAGCGCGAGAACAATAATACTCGCGTCAACTTGAGAACAGACCGCCGGCCCGAACTCAGAGTCGGACAGCCATTGCGTGAGAAAAGGTTTCTGACTGTATCAATAGGGGACGCTGTTTCTTATGTTTTTTTTCTCATGTAGAATTTTCGGCGTTTTTATCCCAGATTTTCTCATTCCCGAACAAACTGTGGATCGGGGAACAAAGATTTTTTTCGATATGGTACACCATAATCTACATGTCTGTGAAGTTTTATAAAATTCGGCGAACCAGACCGCGTGGCGAGCGGAAAAAAAGGCCTCGTCCCATGGACTATGAACGAATGTCAGCTTAACGATCTTAATCAACGTAAAGACACTTGTGACTAAATAAATGTACACTGAATCACTAAGTCCCCTCAAATTGTCATCGTGCTCGCATTGGACGGATTTTGTTCGCAGACACGCCGGTGCGCGCAATTTTACATTCAATGTACAGGGGATGGCCTTCCCACAATCATTTGCAGCTACGCGGCGAACGTGAACGACATCAGCGGTGACTGGCGGGCTCGGGGGACGGCGGGAACGAGGAAAACCGACGACCGTACTCGCGGGTGCATTATTCTCATGAGGGCTTAATATATAGAGCTCGTCCCCAACTGGCTTTCATAGGAAAGCGCGCGTTAGCAAATCGTGATGTCATTATGTCTAGGGTCTATTGCCTGATGAGTTCCTTCGAATATGTTCCCAGATTTAACGCGAATAATGGCAGATGGTAATTCTGATGGACTCAACAGAAACCAGTTGAAACCAACTGAAAAACCCAGTCAATAACTGGTAATTCTGATGGACTCAACATTAACAGGAACCAGTTGAAACCAACTGAACAGACCTGTAATAACTGGTAATCCTGATGAAATCAACAGGAACCAGTTGGAAACAACTGAACAAACCAGTAATAACGGGTAATTATGCCAGTTGAAACCAGTTGAACGAACCAGAAACCTACTGGGAACTCTTATGGAGTCATGTAGTGTATGTGACAGGTCCGTAAGACGAGCGTTTGGCATCTACACATAGGCTAACGCAATGTAAACTGTCGCTTCGTAATAGCCGTGAAAATTAGGGAGGATGGATTGAAATTACTCACAAAGTAAGTTACTTACATGAAGTTGACGCTGTTGTGCTCCTGAAGTAGAGATAAGCTTGCTAGTTGACGACAATCGCCGGAATGACTATTCGAAGAACGAGACAGACTTTTTATACTATTTGGAGATGTAAATGGACGGTGCAGAGCTTACGATAGTGGTAACGAAGGACCGATAGCGTGAGGGTGGTATCAGCAGACGTTCGTGATTGGCTGAAAATTATAAGATGTGAACTCCATTGAAACACCGATCCATTGAGCCCCACCCACGATTTCTTGACCAATCACGGCTGCGATTTAAGACTGACATGCGTGCACTCAAGTCCACCATGCGTGTGCGTGCGTTTGACGCACGGGTTGGCACGTTGGATGGGGTCACGTGTTGTTGCCCGCGTGCTCAGTGGGCGGGGCTTAATGGATTTGTCTATTGATCGTGGTTTCTTGGTTGATGACTCATCAAAAAAACTTCATATGACTCCTAAAAAAAACCTTCACTTTTGGTCCAAAAAATGACAAAATATCAATAAACCATTCGAAAAAAACCCAATAAAGCGATGATCTTTAACGACACCAGAATTGTCATCAGAAATCCTTAAAGTTAAGACTTTCTGTAGTGGATACAAGGACAAGCACATTTTCCATGTACCTTTTCACAACTACTGGTCTCATTTTCATCGGTCTTGTCTTGTATTTGAACCGGGCAGTTAGATTTTGAAAACTCGGTACATGCAGAGAGCAACTCTTCATAAAGATACCCAAGAAATTTCATGACTATAGGTCAAAGGGTTTTGGAATTATGGCTAATTAACTATTCATATGTACGAATGGTAATTCTGGTATGTGTACACGACGAATATGGGAAAATTCAGTTTTCACGGCGCGTAGCGCCTGAAAACTTTTCGCTGCGCGACAACCCCTGGTCTGATTTTTATGTTTTTGGTGTCAAAAGATGCGCAAGGCTTGAGGCTAAAAAGTCAGTACAGCTCGGGTTATTACAACCCTTCATGGTTAAAGGCGAGTGCGCAGAAATAGGAGCGCGTAGCTTTAGGGGGTCTGACGATACATTAACTTTGCATAATGTGTGTGTTCGTTGTTTTTCGTTTAGTGTGTGTAGTGCTATGCACACCCATACATGCATTGAAGTAGACATGGTGCACATGTATTGTACTCGCATTGTAATCACATGTATTGTATGCACATGTGCATTATACATGTACATGTATTTGTGAATCTTTTATTTATTTATTTAGGGTGTCTTTTTAAGAGGTGTCTTATTGGAGTCTTTTTTAGTGGAGTCTTGTTGGGAGACACATGACCATGACAGAATAAATTGAGTTGCTGAAACTGATTGAGTCAGAGTTTTCTGTGGGTGTCCCATCAGCCTGCCTCCCTGCCGTCGCCTGACCAGGGATCCAGATCCCTACCCCCGTTGCTGTACACACATCGACAGTCCAGGAACTACGCAAGTAGTGACCACCACATTTCAAATACTCTTTAGATACGTTACCTCATTTTCATATTTCTTGGAAATGATTGCAACTCCAACAGAATCTGTGGATATTTTGGTGAGGACCGGTCCCTATAATAATTTGAGACCTTTGATGACATGCATACACCCTGAAAGGGTTTCTGTGTTGGACTATCAGAGGCAAAGGACAAAATTACAATTAATCTTGACATTGTGTAATGAAAAGACACGTCTTCTCTGTCACAAGAGTTGATTAAAAGTCATTTCCTATAATTATTCTTATCAGTAAAAAGGTAATTTTGGAAATATTTCCCATGAAACCAGTAACTCAAAATTAATCGTTTCGACTTTACAGTTAATATTAAAACAAAGTATTTTACACTAAATACTCAGTTGAGACCCCCCCCCCCCACCGTTTTGTATAAGTCCAGTTTTGTGACGTATCTGGCATATTATCTGTCATGTGAACTGTGTGTTATTATCGACAAGGGCGTACTACGAACTATTGGAATGTTCAAGTTATCTGTGATATGCAGGCATGTGTAATGGAGAGAAACTGTTCATGAAACCCACCTTGGATGGTGACATGGGAAAATAACACAGAAACACATAATATCTACTTCATTGTGTTTCATTTACACCATTTTCCGTTTCTTCGAATCACCCCGAACCCTTCCCACTCCCATCGGCATTGAGCGTCGCCGGAATTTTGTCCAGAGGCAGCTATGATTATTTGACACTTGGGGCGCTGTTCAACTCAACGGAGACGTATCTTAGAGCACGGATCTGACATTTAAAGGCCCTTTTCTTGCAGTTTTGTCAAAAATTCAGAAAACTAAACAGTATAAAATGACTTGGACTATCTTGTTTTCCACCCCCCCGGCCCTACACAAGTGACAATATCCTCTTTTCATCGCTATCCCGCATTATAGAATGCAAGGACAACAATTACGTAATACCGAGGTTGAAAGAGAATCCAATGCAGTAATTAGTTCCCTGATCATTTTCGGTGAGTAACCTGCTGGTACATCATCCAAGACGCTTTGGATCCCTGGGATCTTCACTTGGCGTCGGCTATATCCACGCATGATAATCTACAAGCCTTGTAATTATTTAACTGCATGGGTAAAGTCCTCTTTGTATTTCCTGAAGTAGAATTCGAACCATTCATTAAAACAAGTGATTGAAACAAAATGAATAGGGCGCGAGAGAATATATGAACGTACAAAATAATATTCGAGTTAAAGAAGTATGCTCGTGCTCTAACAAACTTTGAATTTGTATGTTAGGCCCCCCCCCCCAAAAAAAGTCTCCGGTTTCTGGTATGCGCGCGCGTCGCCGTAGCCATGCGCGTCGGCAAAATGAAAACGTTTTTTTTTTTCAATGAAAGATGATATCTCAAAACCGCCAAACTCTTCACTTGGCGTCACTGGTTTGACTGGAATCCTGCTGCTGCACGATTTTAACGTGTTTTAAGATGGGGTTATGATCGAGAATAAGCTTTATGTGGCCTCTCTGGACTCCCATATATTTGCACTAAGTTTAGTCGGGCACCATTTGCAGTCATCAGCCGACATTTGAAGCAAAAAAGTCAGGTAAAAAAAAAAGCCGCGTTGCCGCACCACTTTTTGGGCAAGCTCCATACCAGAAACCGGAGACTTTTTTTTTTGGCCTTACTGATATCAGGGATTTTTTTCCCGATTTGAGGAGTCTGCAGCCCTCGCAAATGGACGTTTCTGTTTTGCGTGTAAATGAAAACGCCCTCCAAAAGCCGAATCATTATCGAGCAGCAAATAATTCAAATTTTTTTACAGAAATAGTTCAATTACTAAACCTCGGTGGACTTCTTCGTTCGATGTCTCATTCAAAATTGAATAACTTATGATGTCGCAAGGAATACAGCAATTGAAAGTTAAATCTTTTACAGGGTCACACTCGAAATACACCTGTAACTGCTTTTGGCTACTTCATCTTCGCAATGACATATTAAAATTAAAAAACTTTTTAAGTATTTTGTTTTGTAGATATGCCTACCCAACGACAATTTTGTATATCAAGAGTTTTCTAGTGGCGTATCTAAGGCTTACCCCCATTCATGGCCTATGCCCCTCCCCCGTGAATCCCCCCACCTTCTTAGAATTAAGGGGGGGGGGCTAAAAGGAGCGTTGATATTGTAAAAACAGTTGAGTGCCCTCCTCAAGAAATTGAGGTCCAATTGGATCCCCATCGATGCATCAGTCACTCCTATTGTATTTCTGTTGCAAATCTGTCAACTGTTTGCGCATTTCAAGACAAATTTAAACAATTTAGTGTTGGATAGTGTGTGTGGTTTGTAATTTGAATTAAACCTGATATCTCAAGAAAAAATAAAAGTTCATTCCAACTTCTACTTTCTCTTTTAACCCCTCGCCCGCCCTGTCTGTCCCCCCCCCCCTCTCGGCTATGGCCCGAACCCAGTTCCAGCCGATTTAGCAACAACACGAATCAGATGTCTGTGCGAGTTGCTGGCAAGATTTCGATCGGCCATGTGCGCCATATTTGCATAATCTATTATATAATAATCTTTGCATGAAGAACAGAGTCTATATTTCTGCTGCAGTCATCACAACAAAATTAATCAATGGAAGATGCATTTTCATTGCTAATTTTGAGTTCACCTCGTCCCTTTACAAAACAAGCAGATTCGTATTGCTGTGTTTTGTCCCTAGAAAGACAAGAATTTTTCCATTTTGAGAAATAGAAATCAAAGGACGAATGAAGCCGATGTGTAGGGAAGGAATAAATAATGTACACATTTCAAAATATTTGTAATCCGACGATAATTCAGTTCGCGCCGGGAGGATTGGTCCCCGCCCCGATCATAATCGATAATGTACAGAACGTAAACAAGTCTGCTGAACGGGCGGGTCTATTTGTGCAAAAAGTTGTGCAAATAAAATGCCTATTTCAGAGGGTTGCAGACAAAATACGTAAAATTAGAACAATTGTTAGGAGAAGCAACTAAATCCGTAGAGTAGCATGGGAGTAAATATCCAACAAAAATCCCCCCCCCCAAAAAATTAAATAAAATGCAGAAAATAATTGCCATTTTACACTGAAATACAAGCGGCCTAAATGGACCAAAAAAGTTCACTTGTACACAATGTATTACATCCGTATCCCCCTATTTTCCATGCCTGGGAGATTTTAGTATATTTTTATCAATTTGCATCCAAGAAAACTCGTGGAAAATGTTTGATGCAAAAAGATAATTAGGCTGCCGTTCCATTGTCACTTTCTAATAATCTTTCATTGAACAGGGACCCTCATAAATTAGATCGTTATTGATTAACAAGCACCATATCCAATTACGAGGTAATCCATTCTAGTGAGTTTATGAAAACCAGTGCCCTCGAACACGTCGTTACTTTACTTGTAATTATTGCTGGCAGTGTGTGTCAGCAAAAATTCATAATCATAACACGGGGGGGGGGGGGGGAACTCTACCACTCCCCAAAAATATATTTTGTAAAAAGTGCCCTTCTTTTTTACGCAAGTGCCCTTATTTTGTACACAAGTGCCTTTTTTGTCACCAGCGGGCTTTTTTTTAGTGCACAGCAAGATTGGACTTTTTTTGCAGGATAACAGGGGCAGATAAATGCACACAAGGCTATGAGGATC